TAACTTTATTTTATTCATATTTTTTTAATGTGGTGCTGAGGACCAAACCCAGGATCTCGCAGGTGTGAGGCATGCACTCTACCGCTGAGCCACAACCCTAGCCCATCTGTGCAGTCTTAAAGGCTACTTTCCTAATCACCGAAAAAGATCAATTAAAGGTTAAAATAAAAGCTGCAGAATTATCTCTTTTTATGGCATGATATGCCAAAAGTAATAGCAGAAGCTACTAGGCAATAAAACAACCAAGAAGAAAAAACATTTTTCATCATATTAAAACATTGATCTGATCTTAGAACTATGTATTGATAAAAGTTAAAGCAAACTATGCAAAGTAAATGCAACTATGATTATAGGAGTGGATAGTGGGTTTCCATTTTTGAAAATGAGAAACAATTCATTTAACTGGGGAATATACAAAAATCAATATATTCTGTAGTAGATTCAGATTTTATTGAATTGAAACTATAATAGTTTCCATTTTGGAAATAATGAATTCATTGTACTAGAGAATTTACAAGGATCAGTATGTTCTGTAGTAGATTTCAGATTTTTAGGTAGTTCTATTTGTACCATGTATTCAGTATTTTAATTAAGCTTCCTAAGTAGTGGGAAGAGTTATGAGCATAGAAGGGCCTGGGATCATCAGAAGAGTAGATGCCCTATGTAGTGTACTGGTTTTTTTTTTTTCTTCATTTAATGAGCAAATAAATCCTTTTCCTCAAAGATCCCTGAGGTAGCCTCTAATCCCATGGTATAGTAATAATACTATTGATAAACAACATTAATTTGCTCAGCACATAATTATGTGCCAGTACTGTGTGTGTATTGAACCCCCTATGAGATGATATTACTACTTTTATCCCTATTGTATTTGTAAGAAAACTGAGAGAACTGTTTTTTATTGGACAGTGCTGACTTTGATTTTTTGGGTTTTTTGTTTTGTTTTGTTTTTTTGCTTCCAAATTGGTCATTCAAGGCAAACATTGGCATTTACTGATAAGATCAAGCAGTTTGGGATATAAATTGAACACTTCACTTACTTTAATCCTAATTACACAGTCATCTTAAGCTAGATCTCTGATTTGGTATATGTGAGAAGAAGAAGGGAAGAATGCCAGATGTCATTTGTCCAGTTTGGGAATAAGATGCATGTTCCTTCATGAGATTAGGAGTAGGGTAGGGTGGCCAGATATGTTCCTAAAGTGAATTTTTTTTCCTGGCTGTTTGAGGTAAGGTGTTCAGACCTTCCTGAGGAATAAATTTTTTCTAGAAGGCCTCTAAATCAGCCTTTGCTCCTAGATTACTATGACACTTTTCTCACTGGTCCTTCTCTCATCTCTCCTATTTTTGTGGATAGTCTCCTAAGACTCACAAATAGTAGTCATTTATTTGATTTCAGATGTGGCCAGGATCTGGGAATCCACATACACAATACTTCTTTTATAGTAAGTAAAAAAAATTTGTGTGTGTGTGTGCGTGCGCGCGCGAAAATCTTCCTGCAAAGTTGATAAACTGTAAATGCATTTGGTCATTTCTCCTTTTAAGGAGCTTTTAACAATTTGGTAATCTCTGATCTGTAAAACAATGCTAACTAACTCCTTAACCTGGCATATCAGGCTGCCTTTCCAGTGTCATTCTTTACTCCTATACCTAATGCTATGCCACACTGGAGCACTCTAATGCCTCTTTACTGTCTGTATTCTTCAGACCTTCCTCTTTTCCCCACTTCCAGGAGCCCCTTCTAGCCACCTTGGCCCAGCAGACAACATATTTTTACACTACATTGTGGCTTGTAGTGTGGTTGTTTACAACACAATCAGTTCTTAGTTCCTTGTCCCAATTTCAAAACTGTTTTGATTCTCTAAATCTCCTGACCTTTGTGGTGCTCACTGTAGATAGCAGACAATTGGTTAATATTTATTAGTCAGTGAATGAAAGAGGCACGTAGCCTTAAGATCTGCAGACCAAAGCTGGTGGCACCCATCTGTAATTCAAACTTCTGGGGAGGCTGAGGAAGGAGGACACCAAGTTGGAGGTCAGCCCAGGCAACTTAGCCAGACATTGACTCAAAAATAAAAAGGACTGGGGATATAGGTCAGTGATAGAGTGCCCCTAGGTCTAATCCCCAGTACCAAAAAAAAAAAAAAAAAATTGTGGACTAAATTCTTGCATCTTAGCCTTTATAAAATTACTTTAGTGAAACTGAGAATCATCTTAGAAATGAACTGTTTAAAAAAGGGCCTTATAATGGTACCTCTCAGAGGGTTTGGGAAAACAAGATTAAATGATATTTTGGTTATCCTCAGGGCTTGCAAAGAATACCAGTTTGGGGTTCAAGTTGTGCATCTAAAGTCTTCCTGCAAAGTTGATGAATTGTAAATGCATTTAGTCATTTATCATGCTTACCTGGACTTTAAAAAGCTAAACAAAGTGATATCAGGCTTTTTTTTTTTTTTTTAACGAGACCAGCTGTAAGATAAGTGTCAGTTTCTTTACTTGGTCTGCTTTCTATTTGTTTTCCCCAAGATAATTGGGAATGATCAGATTTGGTAAAGCAGACTCCCCTTAGAAGATTCAGTCTGTCCCACCAATGTTTCACTATTTACAGTGTCAGGAATGAACGTGGAAAGTGAGAGAACTGAAGAATGAAGAATGTATGTCTTTGGGCACATCGTGGATAGCAGTGGTATTAAGATAAAACCAAAATAACAGTTTTTCCATAGGGTTTAATTCATGCTTCTGTATCTTGGAGTGGTTTTTTTTTCCTTCTCGTTAATGTTTTACATGTCTTATGCCAATAAATAGTTGTATGTACTTTTTTTTTTTTTTTGGTCAGTACCAGGGGTTAAATTAGGGTCTCGAGCATGCTAGACAGGCTTTCTCTACCACTAAACTATACCCCCCCAGCCCTTTTAATTTTTTTTATTTTGAGACCAGGTATGGCTAAGTTGTCTAGGCTGGCCTTGAACTTGTGATCCTCCTATCTTAACATCATGAGTTGCTTGATGCTTACCCCATCCTCTCTCATAATTATATCTTCAGATGTAAAAATAATAGCTACTGTATGGCAGGTGCCAGGCTAAATGCTTTATACATGTCATGAAAAAGTTGTGGGTGCCCTTTTCCCATTTCACAAATGGGGAAACCAAGTCACAAGGTTTAAATACCTGATATAACATAGTTAATAGATAGTAGAAGCAAAAATTTTTAAATAGTTGTATTAAGATATAATTTATGCATCATGAAATTCACCTTTCAACATTAATTCATTGGTTATTTTTAGTATATTTACAGAGCTGTGCAACTATCACCATTATGTAATTTTAAGATATTTCTATTGCCTCAGAAAGGAACCTTTTACTCATAAGCTACTGCACCCTAATCATCCCTCCAGCCCTGGGCAAGTAATCTTTAGATTGCTTCATTATTTATCTATTGGTACTGGCAATTGAATCCAGGAGTACTGTACTACTGAACCACATCCCCAGCCCTATTTTAATATTTCTCTTGAGACAGTATATTGCCGAGTTGCCCAGGCTGGCCTTGAACATGGTGTCCTCCTGCCTCAACTTCCCAGGATAAGATTAATCATACGCAACTATGCCCAGCTGTCTTACATTTCATTTTTAAAATTTTATTTTATTGGTTCTTTATAGTTATACATGACAGTAAAATCCATTTTGACATAATTACAGAGCATGGTATACATCTTATTTTAATTCTGACCCTAGTAACTCTCTCCTTCCCTTTCCCTACATCCTGCTTCTTTCTATTTATCTTTCATTTACCCATAGTTATTTTTTAAAATTAATTTCTTGTGGAGGTATATGACTGAGATTCTACTTTGTGCTCATATTTGTACATAGGACAGTTATGTCACACTGCTATCTTCAGTTTTTTGGGGGTATTTTATTTAAATGAATTCATAACATGTACCATATTTACCACATAATCATTACAGATTTTATGCCAATTTTTTTTTTTGCAAAAAAGTGGGGCATGACCATTATGTGAAGCCTTTTTTAAAAAGAATTTTTCATCCATGAAATCTCTTTCCACAGGTATTTCCAAGCTGTTTAGTGAACATAATCATTTTCATCTTGAAGCCTACAGAATAGTTTTTATATTGACCCATAATAAAAAAGAAATACTTCACCTGTTAATAATGTATTGCTGGCAGATAAACTATATGGTTTAGTTATCATGGAAAGATGCGAGTCTTACCATATCACATGACTTACTCCTTGCAGCTTTGCTGTATACCTGCTCCCCTGGGCTTACTGCTCTTCATTGAGTTGAGTGACAATACTTTTAGTACTGTAGCACTCTAAACAAATCACAAAAGTTGGTTACTGATAGTCACCATGGACTGAGAATTCTAGGCTCATGGCTGGCCAGGCAGGAGAAGACGAATGCACATCCATATGTCATTGGTGAATACATTGCTGCTCTGTTTACCTTTTAAGGGGCATGGTGAATGGAATTATACCATATAATAATTACATGATGAAAGAGTATAAAGAAGTCTTTGAACTGAAAAAAAAAACTGGGACAATCATGTAGTGGTGACCATTATGCAGTGAAATGTTGTATTTTGTTACTGATTTCTTTGCTTAGTATAATGTTTTTGAGGTTTATCCATGTTGTAGCTCTCAGTACTGCTTTCCTTTATGTCAAACAATGTTCCAGTGTATACATATACCCCCCCCAATATTTGAATCAAGTCTGTCTAGTTGTGTAGCTTATGCTGCTGCTTACTTGTCATGTGAATTCCTACGTATCCTATTTGACTAGGAAGTTTTCGAGATCTTCATATTTTAGTTAATGCTATTACAGTTCTCTGAGTACTTTGTTCATAGTAAACACTTGTTTATAGTGTTTTAGTACAGAGTTAAGAAACTCAAGCCCTTTTTACTTTAACTTATGAGGGGGCAGTACAGTGTCTCTGTGTTTACCATAAAGGAGTGTAGGAAACCTAAGTATTTTTTCTCTGTGTCCAGGAAGAAGAAGTGGGAAGGATAAAAGATTGCTGGGACAACCAGGAAGCGCCTGCACTCTCCACGTGTAGCAATGCCAATATTTTTCGAAGGATAAATGCCATATTGGACAATTCTCTGGATTTCAGTAGAGTCTGCACTACACCCTTAAACCGAGGAATTCATGATCATTTGCCAGGTGATTTAGATTTGAAAACTTGAGTGTGCTAGGTTTATAAACAGAATTGCTTCTAGACAGTACATGTAGGAGCGCTTCCTTGGGAAGCCTTGGAGAATGATATTGGGTCTCTGGTAGCACTTGTTCTTACGGTTTGCTTTTTGGATTGGATTCTGCTCTGGGTGAAGACTGCTTATGATTAAAATATAGAAGTCTGTTTTATGATGCATATGAAGATTGAGGGAAAAGGATAGGCCAAAGTAACTAGAGTACTTATATACAAAAATATAATGTGAATCACATATTATAGATTTTCTATTAGCCATATGAAAAAAGTAAAAGGAAAACAGATTAAATGAATTTATTTAGTCCAACATGTACAAAATATTGCCATGGCAACATACAACTAGTATAAAAGTTGTATCTTTTTTAAAAAATATATGTCACACTCATTTTATTTTTATTTTTTATTTTTTTGTGGTGCTGAGAATTGAACCCCTGGCTTTGTGCATGCGAGGCAAGTACTCTACCAGCTGAGCTATATCCCCAGCCCAAGTTGTATCTTTTAATTAGTACTAAGACTTCAAAATCTAGTATGTGTTCTACACTAAACAGCATAAAACAAAACCAGCTATTCCAGGTGCTCGGTGGCCACATGTGACTAGTGGCTATTATGTTGAACAGTGTAGCTCTTGAATGTTTTAATAGCTTTTTAAACATGAGTACAGGTCAGTAGGCATCTAATTTTATAGTATACGAGATACTGCACAGATAGTGGAGGGAGAGGGCAGATTGTTTCCTAAGAAATGTGAATGTCCTGACAGTGTTTAATAGTTTTTGTGGGAGTTGCAACATGTTATAATAATGTTGATGGAATGTTTTCTGTTATTTTAGATAAAAGAATATATTTTTAATTTCTAAAATGGACCTTGAAAAATTTGGCAGCAGCGAGTTTTCTCAGCACAAAGACTGATAATTACTCTTCTTATAAATTTTTTGATTTAGTTTTTAACTTAGCCTTGGAAGTAATTCTCACAAAGATACTGGGAGTGTGTGATCATTAAGTAGCTTCATATTTGAGAGAGTCTCTTTAAGGAAACTAAGTGGGGCATGGTGACACACACCTGCAATCCCAGCAGCTTGAGAAGCTAAGGCAAGAGGGTTGCAAGTTCAAAACCAGCTTTACCAATTTAGCAAGGCCCTAAGTAACCTAGTGAGACCCTATCTCAAAATAAAAATAAGGGGCTATGGTTTAGTGGTTGAGCACCCTGGTCTCAATCCCTGGTACAAAAAAAAAGACCCATGTGTTCCATCTGTAGAATTTTTTTAAAAAAATTAAATTCTATGAGAAGACACATGAAAAAGAGGCATACCACCGAAGGGTTGGGGGCTTGACTTCTAAGTTCCAAAAAAGAATATATGTATGATGTAAGTAATGAGCTAACCCTCTGTTAGCTTATGCCAAGTTTAAAATTCAGGTATTTAGTTAGTCTTCTTGGTTCAAATATGTGTTCCATTTTTCTTGTCTGAGAAAATTGCATATAGTACATCCCGATAAGAATGACATTTGGACTGGGGAGGTAGCTCAGTAGTAGAGCATAGACTTAGCATGCTCAAGGCCCTGGGTTCATTTCCTACCTCAACAGTGGCTTAAACTGGATTACTTCAGACATCATAGAAACCTTTCTAGTTTATAGGAAAGTATGTTTTAACTAGTGCTATGTTGTCTTAATGGGACAAGATCTATGTTTAATGAGCAAAGAACTTACAGGAATGATTGTATGTTGGCAGTTGGCTAGGGAGCCCAGTGGTCTCACTGGTGAAATGTCAGACTCTGGTGAGAGTATTCTCATAATACTAAGATCAGTGGCCAGCCAAACTACAAGGAAGAGGTTCTTCAGACCTTTCTTGGGTCTGAAGAGATCAGTTTTCCCACCTGTAGGATAGAAAGATACCTGCCTGACCTGTTTCACAGATTTCTTATGGGGCTTAGATGCGAAGGTAAGACTGCATATTCATGGGAGCTCCAGGATTATAATTCCTATCAAGGAAGCTGCCTTCAAGCCCTTTTTTTCTATAGGCCTAGCCTTCTGTATGGTTAGCATGCTTTCTACCTCCCTCCTGAAAATGTCAACTCAGGGATATGGGCCTTTGTTCTTGTGTGGTGACAGGAATGCCTGACCTACAGAAAATTCCCTGTGTTTCTCCAGCAAAAATCCTCTAAGGACCAGGCTGCAGAAATGCCACTGTTGTGGTTAATAAAGAAGTAAACCAGGGAAAATTTTTTCATGAAGATTTTTAAGAAACAACTTGATCAAAAGTAATTTTGTTGGGCTGGGTGGTAGCTCAGTGGTAGAGTGCTTGCTTAGCACATGTGAGGCACTGGTTGATTCCAAAAATAAATAAATAAATAAGATAAAGGTATTGGGTCCATCTGCAACAACAACAATGAAAATAATTTTGTTTAAAATGATCAGAATTGTAAAAATTTAAGAACAATATTGTTTATAGCAGCATTATAACTAAGGAGAATTCAGCATCAGCAGGTTAAGGAAATCAGCACAGCCATGCAGTGGGCTTTTCTGCACCACTAATTATGATGTTCGTAGAAGACTACTTAATGGCAAAGAAAGGTAATCACAGTATCTGCAATGAACAGAGCAAACAGTTTGGCCTTAAGGATATACATATGAATAGAAAAAAGACTAGAGGGATTTACATGTAACAGTGAAGTTGTTATGGACTGTTTTTTCCCCCTGTGTACTTTCCCTCACTAATTCTTCTATAATACAGATTGTATAATATAATTTTAAAAAATGGTATCTTTTGAACACAGTGTTTTATATTGCTATTTGCATTGATCCCACTTAATTTCTTCCCTAGGCTCTGGCACAAGGTAAAAGTTCTTTTTTATTACTGTCTTGCTAACATTTTGTTCATACTTGGTCATCTGTCAGAATTTACATGGCACAGTTAACTTGTTTCACAAAGGCACATTTAACTTTGCAGAAGTTGTCTTTTTTTTCTCCCATTTGAGCTGTCGAGTGTAAGTTACTTGCAAGGCTGTATGCTAGCTATGATAAAATATTTCAAGACATACTGTACAGTGAAATTGACAACAGAAATATGTGCTTGAAAGGTGTGGTGGTATACACTTGTAATTCCAGCAGTTCCGGAGTCTGGAGCAGGAAGATCAGAAGTTCAAGGCCAGTCTGGGCAATTAGTAAGACTTGTCTCAAAAAAGGGCTAGGAATTTAGCTCAGTGGTAGAGCGCCCGTGGGTTCAGTTTCTAGCACTGAACAACAACAGGAGCAGCCAAAAAAAAAAAAAAAAAATCAGTTGACCAACTGTTTTTTGGAAAACTGATGTGACAGAATCAAGTGGAGAGAGTTTGCTTAGGGTACTGGGAAACAGTTTTGAGAGCAGAACATTTGAAATATCTTTAAAGATAACTATAATTATTTTGGCATAGCTGGATATTGAGTAGATTTTTTTTGTTTCCCTAGAATTGGCTATGAGAGCCCAAAGCTGAGAATAAGTTAAGTGACCTGTGGTGTGATGAAAACCCTTAAGAAGTGGGGCCAACTCCAGGTGTGGCTCATCAAGAGGCCCTTAGATCCCCAGCACCACAAAAACAAAGTGAGAACAGATAGTTTCTCCTGCCACAAACATTGCAGCCCTTCCCTGATCTGCACTGCACAGTATAAGAAGACCACATAGGGAGGATAGCAATTGAAGTGATTCCCATCCTTTTAATAAGAGGAGAGTAAAGTGGATGCTACTTCCCCTTGCAAGCCAAGCAAGGGGAGTCTATTTCAGGAGAAGTATGAAGCATATTTATAGATTGTAGGTGCTTCCAGGAGAAAGGCAAGGTCAAACCTGTTTGGACAGCAAACTTGTTATCTGCCCAACTGAGTAAAGATGAATTGAGAAATGTGGTGGGACAGAATAGGGTAGCTGGGGTTTTCTGAATTCCCCCAGTTGATACACAAGAAAGTTGTGACCTATGGTTTAGGAAAGATCTGCAAAAGGTCTGAACTTTTTGATTATTATCCCACTAAGAAAAGGGCCCATGTTGCATGAGGGGTTGTGGGAGCTGGTGTGGGGCTGAAAGACCAGGCCAGGTATGCATCTCCTACTCAATCAATAGTGTAGTTGGGATGTACCCGTTTCTTATGAGGTTACCTGCCACCTAGAGGGCCTCTTCACATTCTCTGTCCTTAAAGCATGAATCTGTTGAACTATGGGGAAGGGTGGAAATGAGCTGTAAATGATAGGTGATAAAAGTATTAGAAATGAGTTTTAGTAACTATCTATAAAGGGTATGGTAAGATATCGTTTAACTGCTAGATGAGTTAGGGCCGTTTAATCTATAGGATGGCTGGGGGCACCAACTGGCGAAAAAAATTTCATGTTAACTCACTAAGATGAGACTTCTTAGTAACCAGTTAAAAAGGGCTTGATTAGCCAAAGTAGTTCAAAGTAAGATTTAAGACTGAGTTTAAAGGTTTTGTTTTGATTTACCTGAAGTATGATACACATGGGAAGTGCATATCATAGGTAAGGAGCTCCAACTTTCTTAAACCGAGCATAGTCAGTTTTTATATCTAAATGGTCTGCTAAAGTTTGAGACAAAAATAATTGTAATATTGTAGCCTGATACTGAATTTCTGGTTTCCTTTTTTTATTCTACAGGATCATAAAAAGTTGTCATCATTAAATTGTCCATAAAGTTATTCCAAATTGAGTTTAATCATTTTGTCCCAGGTAATGAGGTGATTGAAATTATTCTCAGCAAGTCTAGCTTCTGACAAAACAGAAAATTTTGTGGAACATTAATATATGACTTTAACAGTTAAGTGATAAAGATTTAACATTTTATTTAAGCATAATAATAAGTATGACTTTATTGAAGTGTTAGCAGATTGCTACCAATTTCCTATAAGAACCAGAAAAATCCAATTTTATTTGAAAAGGTACATTATTTTGTTTCTCTCTCACACACATTTTGTACATATAGA